TGATCTCCGGTACCTACTCTCCACCCCAAAAAAGAGAAGTTTACTTAGTCTTTACTTAGCCTCTCAAGTTGCTGGGACTACAGACATATGCCACCATGCCTAGCTTTGGGTTAGATCATTTTTAAATTAAGTAATTTACAATTTTAAAAAAGCATTCTTTAAAAATGACTGGCAATTTTCAGATGAATTTTTAAATTGCACTTTAAAGTTTTGATTAAAATTTCCTTAGAGAAAATTGTACTTGGCTGACTGACAATTATCTAACAACTTCTTTTTTCTATAAGTATTTCCACCAACAGATAAATTTTTGAGTTGACTTATTAGAGATTCTTTCCTTACAGCAAGGTAAGAGTACTTTTGCATTGCTTTGAACTAAATTGAAAGGGTTTGGTTGGGTTTTTCTGTTTGTTTTGGTACTGAGAACTGAACACAGGGCCTTCACACTGAGCCACACCCTCAGCCCTCCACTCTGCTTTTTTGAGACAGGGTCTCACTAAGGTAAGTTGTCCAGGAAAGACTCAAGCTTGGAATATTCCTACCTCAGCCTCCCAGAGTGTGGGACTACATGTGTCCACTACCATGCCCAGCTAGAAGGTTTTTTTAATCAAAAAGTCTCATAATGAGGAAAAGCAAGTGTTTATATGTACTAGAGGTAAAAAGGATTCTATTTCAGCAAAAGAAACAGTATCTTACCTGAGCCATGGCTTTAATATTTGTAGAAAAAGACTCCTCTGGGTTCCTTTTTTGAAAAAGGACAGACCTAAGAAAGGTAAAAGAAGGTATGTCAGACTCCTCTTGCCTCACAACACCCACAATGATCATTTCCCCTGTGTTCAATCCACATAAACACGTGGCAGTGAGAAGAATGGGCAATTCTCTCATCATCTTCAATTCTACAGAGCCAGGCTTTGGATTGGAACCAGTTGAATTTGGGTAGGATAGACATGGCTTGAAAAATGAATGTCTGTATACAAACAAACATACACACATACAAAGATATAAACATCGTATTTTTATCATACATCATAATTATAGCATATTATATATACTACCATAGACATTGCTATTTTTATTTAAGGTACCTTGGAATAAATCTGAACTAATACATATTGTGATACATAATTGTGTTAATAACTACATTGTATTCTATGAAATGGATATAACCTAATTTACTGAGCCAATCTGCAGCCAGGGATCCTTTGAGTTGTTTTCTTTCATTAGAACAAAGTTGCAATAAATACCCCAGTGCATGTATCATTTTACTTGTACAGTATATAAATTCTGATTAATCTCTAAAAGTATAACTGCTCAAAGATTTTACATATTTTAAGTTTGGATTTATCTTGATCAAACCAATTTTCAATAAGCTTAGGTTAAAAAATCTGGGCCCAAGTTCTGACCAAGAAAGAATTATCTTGCCTAATTTGAGAAGATATGGGGTGTTAATAGGTCTTGGCTTAACCTAATTGAAACCCAGAAAATGAAACAAAATAATATTACTGACCCAGAAGTCTAATATCTTCTATCAGCATCTGTGAAGGTGTATCAAGCCACTTTATTACTTTACAAATAGGAGAAAATTTCAGATACTTCACCGTTCTTGATAGAAACTTGTGGTTTAGAATTGGAATTGAAGGTATGAGTATGAACTGGTGGTTTTAAAATATGTAAACAGATAGACAGACGGATATGTGCAAAAACATTTATATATTTTTAGCTCTCTCCACTAACCAGAACTTGGGTAGTGGCAACCTAATAGCAATGAACACACAAAGTTCCCGGATCTTGATATATAAATTCATTTTCCAATAAAAGAAACTGGAGCTCCTTGAAAAAAATTCTGATTCCAGGGATAGAGGAGGTAAAATGCAAGGTGAGCTTGGAGTATCTCATGGTGCCAGAAATTAAGAAAATGCTAAACAACAACAAAAGTCATATTGAAAGGACACAGGAGCCAACTTAACAGCCAAATCTTGGCATCAAAATGAATAATGATAACAATGGATTAAAATTCGTGTAATAAGATATCCATAAGTCTATAAATGTTAAAGATACATACGGAGAAGAAACAGCTCTTCCTTATACTAGAATTTAAATTAATAAATATAAAATGACAGAAAGAGAAATCATTAGTCAAACATTATAGTATTGTTACAGATAACATTTATAAATTGATGGGCTAAAGTATGATTAAAAACAGGATTTTTTTTTTTTTTTTTTTT